ATACAGGGAACAACCATTTTAGCTTCTTTTGTGATTGTAACATTCACAGGTAAACAGGTATGCATTTTCAGGTGGGCAGGATTCTATAGAGTTGCACAGGAAGTATGGGGCAAACCTTGAGGTAGCTGTTTTATTAGTTTAATAGGTCTTAGTGAAAAATGAGATGTCACAATGTGTGTTTTATATTCTATCACTACCATATCATCATACAAATTTTGATTTGTTTTGCTGGGCATCTATGATTTTTGGGTAAACATTTTAAACACGTGCTGTGTGTTTGCTTGTTCTTGGAATGACTTTTGTAGATTTTTCATTTTACCTAGTTATATTTATCTATTTCACCCAAACATTACTTGAATGCTTTTTTGGGTTCTTGCTATGGCGTATTATTTATATATATATTTTTTGCTATGTTTTTCCTCTAACCCCATGAGTCGCTGTTGGTCCCACTTTTCTTGAAATGGTTATTTAGGTCGATATCCCAATCAAATACCTGGGATTTTTTCTGGAGGATGATGCTGAACTGGATAAAATTAGGAAGGTGTGTTACATTTATGTTTGGTTAAAATTGCAGTGGATTGCCATATTGAAACTAGAGGGAACTGTTATATTAGCTGACCATCTCCAATTTCATATTGATCTCAGATTATCTGGTTGGTTTAATAACTTCAATTTTGTTTTCCGTGTATTGCTATATATTTCTGAATTTTAGGAATATGGTGCTGGCCGTATGCTGACGGGTGAAGTGAAGAAGAGACTTATTGAAATTCTAACGGGTATCGTTGAAAGACATAGGGAGGCTAGAGCAGCAGTTACTGATGAGGTAACTGAACGGTTTCTTTTCACTAGTATATATTTGCAAATTTATTTCTTGGTTTAACTACGTTTGATCATTTTTTTGGCAAATCTCATGAAAATTAACTTCCTTTTATCAAACTAGTCTCTTTCTTGGGACGAGAAGTTCAAAGATGACTCTCTTTTTTAGGGTGGTGGGTAGGGGTAAGACTTTTGAGCCCAACAAGCGGGTAAGCGCTTGGTGGCTGCTGATTATTATGTAAACTTGTCTGAGATTATGATAACTGTATTGTGATTCTTGTACTTGCTTTTTGCACAGATGGTAGACACATTCATGGCAGTACGTCCGCTTCCTAATATGTTTTGCTGAACATGGTTTACAATATAAGTTAGAAGCTTTGCATTCATTTTATTATTGGAATTCAAGCCCTTATGGCGGAGATCAGTATTTCTGATGATCATTTCTATACAAACAGTCTGACTCGAGACTTGTAATTTTTGGGTAGGTCTCTTATGAGGCTTTATGTGTCCGTTAGATGTGAAATGACGGTGAGCCAGATATTTTTGGTTAAAAATATATATATTTGAAGCTAATTATTATTATTATAATTGTTTACTATAGGGAGATTTTATGGAGCCCTGTATGACTTCGCTATGGAGTCTAGCAATGTGGCATCATCTGATCATCACAACCATACATTTATGAAGTAGGGTCCTCCATTATAATTCCACTAGAGAAATGAATGATTGTTCTGAGATCACATGTGCTATATGACTCCATAGTGGAGTCATATAGGGCTCCATAAAGGTTTTGCTGTTTTTAGATACTCCCTCCGTTCCATTTAAACGTCCGCACGTGGTTTACGACGTTTGACTGACCATAAAGTTAACTGATCCCTGTCATTAGTAGAATTATTTTTAGTAAATAAAGTTTACATATTCAGAAATTACATTAAAATCGCTACAAAGCCTGATTAAGAAAATTTAAATTTAATAAAAGTTGAATATATAAAGTAAAAGATTAAGAACGATGCATGTTGATCGGAGAATAATGGGCGAGAACCTTTAAATGGGACGGAGGAAGTACTATTTTAGTGTTCTTATAAGTTTTACGAAGATTACAGTGACACACTAGGGCAAGAATAATAAGAGGAATATATGGTTTATAGATTACAGTGACACACTAAATTGAAGCTAATTTTAAAAACGTGATCACATTTACATTTGGACACAAAATGTGACTAAAATGGTTATGTATTTGAAAAAATGAGAAATGACCGTTAAATATTCATGTCATTACTTATTTTTCATGTCACTGTCGGACTACCGAATGCCATCGCCGTCGGCCACAGTGACACCGTCGCCGACCACAGTGACACTGATATAGTGAAACCGCTACAGTGACACCACCACAGTCACACCGCTGTTTGTACCATCAATGATCGTCACCGCATCGCTTCATCTAGTGACCATCGCCTAGCCCCCTCCTCGACCCCCACCAGTCACAACCTGATTCAACATCAACCCCAACCCCAACCCCCTCCCTTTCGTGCTCAATAGAGTTATGATAACCACCCTAGCCCCAGCCGCCAGTGATGATGACAAGTGACCAACCCTTCTCTCACCATTACCCCAACCAGCCAATACCAAACCCCGTCGCGTCCTCACCAGTCCTACCGTAATCCCGCTAACCCTAGCAGTCACCCCATTTTGGATCTAGATCTAAAATACCCTCTTCGCCCCTTCGACCCCCCACGACCGGAAACAAATGGAGATGGCAATGGAAGGAGAAGATCGGCCGACGAGATGGAGACGACCAAAGCAGCGAAGGAAGCGGCGTTCTAGTTGCCCTGTGCGCGGAGGAGATGGACGCTGCTTTGTGAGTCAAAGTTTTGCTCCGTCCCCGAGGTTCATGCGCAGAAAGAGAAAGAAGAAGTGAAAGGTTTTTTTAGAAGAAGCGGAAGCTAGGTAACTTTTTTGTCAAAAAATAATCTAGTCATATTTTTGTCTAATAAAAATTGAGAAATAATATTTGTGTCATTCTTTCTAATAGGTAAGCAAAAAAGGGTGAATAACTAATTATGTTGTCCAATAGCATCATTGTGAGTTGTGACACTCCTAGGAAGGATGTCATAGGCTTGAATCTCATTCCAATTCAAGGTTGGCCTTAATATAGAAGAGATATTAAAATAGTTTATGAAGCTCAACAAAAAAACTAATAATGTAAGATAAACATAATGGTAAAACTAGACAAATTAAGTAATAAAGTAAATAAAAAAACCCATGTCCCAGAAGAGTAGGGAGGATTGCAGGTTAAATGAAAACAAATTGAAGTGTTATAGAATTCCTTCATTCCAACTCAACATTGCCAGTGTGCTCTCTAGTTCATTATCAAAAAATTAACATGAATTTCAATATAAATAGCGTTTCAGTGTAACTTTTAAAATCTAAATATTGCTACAAATTGAATTACCTTCATCATTAATCAATCATATATGTATGACAATGTTGATTTTAGTCAACCACAGTAAACTTGATATGCGAATATGCAATGTTCAGTGAGGAAACAATTTCTCTTTTACATCTTAACAAATACCTTTCTGGAGTATTCATATATTAAGGGAGTAATGTTTAATGTACTATCTCACTTTGTTCCATGATTGTAGGACATTGATTATGTTTTCACATTTCTTTATAGTTTGGATTGGACCTTATTTGCAAAATAATGAAAATTAGAAACTAGATCGGGTATGTCCTGATTTTTATTTAGAACCGACGAGATACATTCATTTGAGATGCACTTTTTTGAATTTATTTTTACCAGTTTTGAGTTGTTACGAGGCTACTATGGTTTGAGAAAATCAGCAAACTAAAATTAAATTCTTTGCAATCATGTTTAATTTGATTAGATTAATTCATGTTGATTTGGTATTGTTGGATTAAAATGATACGGAGTATATAATAGAATACTTACATAGGTGGTAGGAATGTACGACAATCTGTCCAATCTTGTATCCTCGGTAGAATAAACGAAAGGGGTGCATCATGTGCTTGTTTTTTATTTCCAGAAAACTTGTAACGTGCTTTCTTTACAACACAACCACAACACAACTCCAATCTGTTACTATCATTCATTCACTCAAATCAATTGAATTCTTATACTCATGAGTTAACTTATGTATTGGATCAGTACATACTATATAGACTAAATGGAATACAATTGGAATAGATAATTTATATTGTAAGCCAACTCCTATGTAATATTATTCAACAATTCTCAAAACCATTTTGAGTTACTACTATTATTATAATCAAACTATTTTAAACCTTAACAAATAAATACGGTCAACTCATCTGCAGTACTGAAGCCTAAAGGCTTCATATACAAGTACAAATATTTAAAAAATCTTTCCAATCATACAATTTGGTTATTTTGAAGTTAGACCTTTAAAATAAACAAGCTAAAGGGTCAAACAGGTCCCTGCAAAATTCACACTCAGAATCGACAAAGAATGATTCAAATTTTACTTTTTACGGGTAAACAACCGATCATTTTTTTTAATTGTTTCTGTTTTTATTTTCGATTTATTGCAATTTTGACACTTTTTAATAGTTTATGAGTGCGAATTGGACCTTTTTTCCCGTTTGTTTAACCTTAAAAAATGAAATTTAAACTGTTTTGGAAAAAGGGGCAAATAAGCCCACGTACTAACCAAAAAAGGTCAAATAAACCCTTATGTCCGGCCGTGGTCATTTGGGGGAGTTCTCGGTGGAATTTTTGATGAATTTTTTTCAGAATCTTATTCATTAAAGGGAGTTTACTCATACCAAATTTCAGCTAACAATTCAATGGGGAAGACATTCAAATAAATTCTTGAATATAACTGCGCTTTGAACTGCACAATTATCTTCAAGAATTCATTTGAATGCCTTCTCGATTCAAGTTTTAGCTGAAATTTAGTATGAGTAAACTAGACTTAATGAATAATATGCTAAAAAAATTGCATTAAAAATTTCCACCGGAAACCGCCCCAAATGATGACGGTCGAACATAGTCTCCTACATAAGAATTTATTTGACCTTTTTGGTGAATTGAATTTTTTTTTAGTGTGAATTGAACTTTTTTTAGTTTTATCGATTGAATTGAACTTACAAGACCCTGACAATAGGAGCTTATTTGACTGTTTAGCTTACACTATATTGGCGGGAGTCCGCGGCTTCTTTCGTTTCAATCCCGCTAAAAAACAAAAAGAAAACAACATTAAAACGGAAACCTTCAAAATCAAACCCTAAAACTCAATTTCCATCAAAAGATATATCCAAACACAACAATCGTGATATTGAATCTGATGGGCAAGAGCGATGCTAATCAGCAGTTGGCCGTTGCTAAGACGGCGTACCATAATGCTAAAGCTGAGGGCAACCGCCAGGAGGAGGCCAGGTGGGCAAATATGATAGGCGACATCCTCAAGAATCGAGGGGAATACTTCAAGGCTCTCAGGTGGCTCCGCATTGACTACGATATCTCCGCTAAGTACTTGCCGGAGAAGCAGTTGCTGCCTTCGTGTCAGTCACTCGGCGAACTCTATCTCCGTCTTCATGATTTCGAAAATGCCCTAATTTATCAGGTAAGCTTTGAATTGCATTTCACTTTGTTCTTCCCTCCTGCCCCACCACCCCGTGGTGGTCGGTGGTGTGCTGTACCCAGAGCTAAAGAATATATGTAACAACTTGTCCAGAATTTGTTGGATCCTTACAAAGGTTAAACTCTATCGCTTTTATTGCACGTTACTTCACAGTAGTTTAGGACCTAGGTAATTCGGTGTTATGCTCTTTGTTACCGACCAGCATGTGCTTTTTTTAGTCATTATCTTTGTAGCCGGAGGGCTTCAGATCCCTAAAGAGTTAAAGTTATACTTTTTCTCGTTAAGATCAGTCGCGTTTGAGTACAAGAGGTTTGACTTTTTCTTTGTTTGAGCCATCATATTCTGTTTTGTGTCAGAAAAAGCATTTAGATCTCGCCAGGAATGAAAGTGATCTTATTGAACAACAAAGGGCAACCACTCAACTAGGGAGAACATATCATGAAATGTTCTTAAAGTCTGACAACGACCATTTCTCTCTGAAAAATGCTAAGAAGTATTTCAAGTTGTCAATGGAACTTGCTCAAACTCTGAAGCTGGGCCAACAATATGAAAAGTTCTCATTTGTAAAGGAGTACATTGATGCACATAATAACCTGGGAATGCTCGAAATGGATCTTGATAACTTGGAGGAAGCCAAAACATTTCTCTTGAAGGGATTAGATATCTGTGATGAAGAAGAATTGAATGAGAATGATGATGCACGAAGTAGGCTTCATCATAACCTTGGAAATGTTTACACAGAACTAAGGAAATGGGATAAAGCAAGAGAGCATATCCAGAAAGATATTGTAATTTGTCACAAAATTGGACACTGCCAGGGAGAGGCTAAGGGGTATATAAATCTGGGTGAGCTGCATTACAGGGTTCAAAAGTATGATGAGGCCATGACTTGTTATGCTAAGGCTCTTCAATTAGCTAAATCAATGGAGGATGAGGATGCTTTGGTTGATCAAATAAATCAAAACATGCAAACAGTAAAGGCCGCACTCAAGGTACGGGATGAAATGGAAAAAGAAGAGCAAGTTCTAAAAAAATTGGTAAGGAAATTGGATACAGCCAGAGGCACAGATGGCGAGAGGAAGTGCTTACTGCAACAGTATTCATCTCTTGATCATCTCATTGAGAAAGCCAGCACAATCTTTGCATGGATGAAAGTAAGTTTCCAATTTACGGCAGCACTTAATGTTTTTTTTGTTTAAATTCCTAATTTGCTTCTCAAATGAAAACGAAAGTTCAGTTGAGGCTGTTATAGGTGAAATTCATAAGAATAATCTCTACTTTCAGTGATTCTACAATAATAATCCTTACTAAGAGTGTCCATAAAAAAATTGAACAATCAATGGTGTTCACAAGAATAAATTTGAGTTAATTCAAATTAATGACCGTTTACTACTCCCAACCTCTACCCGCACTGTCCTCTTCCCCGCTCTTCGTGAATTCAAACTAATGCCCATTTAATCTCTTCCAATTTCATCATATGTGATTTTCTCTAGTTTAAAAGATAGAAGTATTGCCCGAGATGAAGAGTGATGGAGGAGAAAGTGAAGGTAAGAGTTGAGAGTATCAAACAGAGATTAGTTTGAATCCACCTCAATTTATTTTTGTAGAAGCCATTGCTAATTTGGATTATTTTTATGAGCACTCTCAGTGTGGATTATTATTATAGAATCCCTGAAAGTATAGATTATTCTTATGAATTTCGCCGACCGTTATATGAAATCTTATAAATTAGGATTTCACTGTTTTCCACTCTTTACATGAGATAGATTTGCTATCCTCAAGTATTGTTTCTCAATCTCAATGCTTTTGAGATTTTTGGTTCAAGTTTTCATCGGGTATTAGGGTCTAATTAATCAGAACCTATTTTAGTTTCATTTTGCGCAACCCAGTTTTGTTAAAAGTTTATGCCCATTGAGACTCCCATAGACTAAAGACTATACTCATATTAGTTTGTTATCTGTCAGGAGATCTTCTCCCCTTCTTGCTCTCTTTAACGGGTTGTAATATCCATAGTTAGTTAAATACGGTATGGGAATTAAACGAGGTTTAATACATACACGTTTTATTCGGTAACATTAATGAAATAAACGGTCAAAAATTCGTTAAAAAACGTTGACTTTTAAAAAACGTATAAATACGTATACATGTATAATGCGGTATCTATTACAAAAATTCGGACAAAAAATATGGGGTATTATTTTGAACATTTAAATTATATACTTCACAAAATAACATAGATAGTAAAAAGAAATAAAAGTATACACATATTCAAGTAGCAAATCTCATTACTACATACAAGAATAATTCGTAATTGCATAAGTTGATGACAAAAAAACAGTAATTAAGTTCAAGACATAATTTTGCGAACTAATGTCAACAAATAAGACATAATAACAATAGAATGAGACTAACTTACAATCATTATCTTTATATGATTGTCAAATAACACTCAATTTAAATTTATTATTTTCATCAAGATGACATATGACATATATATGAGAAAAGTTATGCCACTGCTACGCGGGCTTATTGTTATTTATGTGTAAGGATTTATACTGAAAAATGTTAGGTTTAGAAAAACTTTAATTTTGATATGCTTGTTTGGAAAAAGATCATAAATCTAGTAGTATTTTAAGTTTTAATCTTTTAGGATGCTAGCTTCAGCCGCCATGCCCGCAATTAATTTCAGTATTTAATATTTGTATTGTAACAATACAAAAACACGGGGTCATAGGGGGAGCTTTACTTTTTTGCTTTCTAACTATTGTTGATCTCTTATGTATTTAATGCGTTCATTCAATTGACCAATGAAAAAATGACATATATATATTACTAATAGAGTTTCCACGGACAAAAATATGACTAGTTATGTTTCTGAACAAAAATATGACTAGTCATTATGTACGAGTCATTGTGAACTAGTCACTATAATGTAGTTTAGAATGACAAGTCACTCTAGACCACAAGTCACTGTGAGCTAGTCACTAAATATGCCACTTTTTAGGAAAATTTTAAAATAAGTCATATTTTTGTCTTTTGAATTAAATTTAGTAATATTCATGGAAAAATGCATTGATCAATTCATGTTTCTATTTTTTGTAAAATACGGGAAAAATACGTTTTATCCGGGAAGTAAGAGTTTTTTTTCCTTTTTAAACAGACCGCCATTATTTTTTGTTATAAACGTGTTTTTTGTTCAAAAAAATGGTACGTGTTTAAAATGCGTTTAAAATGCAAAAAAGCTAACTAGGGTAATATCTAGTGGAGGGAAGAAAAATGGGGCAATTTGACTAAAACGTTTCTGCTTTTTCTTCCAATTGCCTCTTTCATCTAGCTAACTTGTTATAGCTATGCAACACTGTTTTTCTTGTGCGGTAGTATCATGCATATGCCAAGAAAAGAAAGAAAATAGCAAGCCAGCTTTATGACACAGAGAAGTTGGGTGATTGTTTTCTTGCTATAGGAGAGTCATACCATAAGCTCAGGAAGTTTGATAAGGCTCTGAAATGGCACACAAAGAGCTGGGAAAAATTCAAAGTAATTGGGAACTTGGAGGTAACTTTATGTAATCTAGACTTGTATATGTGCTGGAGTGAGCTGGACGAAAATGATTGATTTTTTTTCATGTATGTATATGCACTGGACAACTGGTTTTAACTCTTTAAATTCTTTTCTCAATATGTATATGTGTTGGATGGATCATGAATTTGTATAATGTTATATTTTATACTTTCTAAATATGATATTCATGATTTTCTAATTTAACTTTTAACATAAAGAGTATAAAGATTGTGAAAAACTAGATAACTAAAAATAAATTGACACACTGATTAAATGTTTATTAACTTTGTTTTTGTTAATGGTAAATTGGTAATAGGTGTGCTTACAAAATATGAAATTTCATCTCTATTTCTAACTATTTGATACTAATTGTCTATGGACTTTGATTGATCAGAAAAAATTGCTTTATGTGATATTTGAACATAATATTTTAATGGGGTTATGACTCCATTTTGTTGGTTTTGATTATGATGTTTGTTGACTTTTAATGATTATGCTATTATATTTTTAATTACATTTTTTTATTTTTTATATAAATTGGTGTAAAAATCTGAGGCTTACACCTTATTGCGCAATGAGGCTTACACAATAGGAAACCGCCTCAAATACGCAATACACAATTTTGAACATTGATGAGAAGTTAGATAATAAAATGAAGCATTGGCATTTGTTTTTGTATAAAAAGCCAAAATGAAGTTTGAACTGCATTTGTTTTTTTTTTTATACAAAATGAATTAAACCTGCATGCAGAAATTTTTTCGCTATTGCGGGGAGCAGATTGAACTTCAACTAGCATGAAGTTTGCCTCTGAATTTCAGAATACCTTAGTCATTGCTGAAATTGTGTTTCAGGGACAAGCACTGGCAAAAATCAATATTGGTAATGCTTTTGATTCTAAAGGTGACTGGGAATCTGCTTTGGCTTCATTTAAAGAGGCTTATAGGCAAGTGGACACACTTGCTCTTCACTTGGCTGTTTAAGTTATTCATATGAAAGCTCTATGATGAACTAGTTTACTGCTTTCAAATAGATCATCTTAACCTGTGCCTCTGTTATTACTTTTTCTTTCAGCATTGCTATTGAAGCAAACAAGCCTGTTACTCAGCTGGCTGCTCTAGAAAATATGCACTATAGCCAAATGATTAGATTCGATAATGTAGAAGAAGCGAAGTAAGTTATTTTGCATTCATGGAAAAGCTTTCTGGTAGGACCCAAAAGCTCAATGGAAACAATTTTCTGCCTCAATCTAGTTAGGATTGACTATATGATGTTTTTTCCACTTCTCCAGTGCATTCTGCTTTCATTAGAATTGCTCGAACCCCATTCCTTTCACTAAAATGTCTTTAAAACACTGCTACGTATTCAAATCATGACTTTGTTTTCTGATATTCCGTTTTTGCCAATCTTGTCATCACAAGTCAGTTATTTGCAATCTTGAAACATTGTGGATATTTCTCTATATTATAAATAAAGATATAGATGATTATGTAATTTTATGCAGGAGGCTACAATTGCTGATTGACATGTTAAAGAAGTCGGGGAGTGATGATCTTGGAGTGCCAGATCTTGCAGGGGGTTCGTGCTCTGAAACAGAAACAGAGGCAGGCCCCTCACCATATGAGGCATCAGATGCAAGTCTTTCACCAACAAGAAGTGAATTCTGTAATAAAAAAATTAACTTTCATGACACTGCTGATCAATCATGTGAAGATATACTCTTGATTTCCTTGCTTGATCCTAAAAAGTCGGCTAAGAAGAAAATTAGTAGCATTTCCTCTACAGTTCCATCTAATTCATTGCCTAGAAGCTTAACCAAATCAAGTAGTAGTCAAACTGACATGATTGGTCGTAAACGTACCCGCATTGTCCTGTCCGATGATGATGAAAGTAATGAGGTACTTTGCTCTGGAAGGATTGTCAATGATACTCAGTTTTCTTTGTCCCATAATGTGTTGTATAATAAGGGTGCTGTAGAAGATGTGGCTACGTCAGATAATTGTAAGTTTCCCACAATTTTATTTGGTTGTCTACTTGTATTAGGTCAATGGAAAGTTGACTCAATATATTGCCAATATGCAGTTAAAAGTGGGAAACACCAGTGTACTGATGCTCATCAGGCTCAACAGGTAACATGTTTTGCCTTAATTTGTTGGTATTAATTTACTTTTGGCTGACTACTAAGTCACTAAGTGCCTCTCTTCCTCTCTTCCTCTCTTTGTATCAGGATGTCTCGCCAGTAGCCTCAAAATGTATAGTTAATGGTTGCACAGCTATGAACTTTGAAGAGAGCACCTGTTCTGACAAATCCAGGACTTCAAGATTAGATGAAAGCAACTTTAGATATTCCAGTCCACTCAGGCCTGTTGAAAATTCTACTTCTCATGCTAATGACAACCCAGTACATGCTAATAATGTTTGTGGTGATGAGAATTGTGTAAGTGTAAGAAAAATTGTGAGCAAGTGCATACTATGCTTTTTGTCTAAATCAATTTCCAATAGTGGTATATTTAAATGAGCAACCTTGCACGCATACAATTTCACACCATTTCTGTGTGGTATCTTAGCATGGTCTTTTATTTTTGATAATACTACGTATGAAAAAGAAACGGTCACGCTTCTGATACTACAAGTCCAGTAAACTCTACTGGTTTGTGAGAAATCCTTTGAAAAAAATGCTTAACAATGTTAATGCTTTGTTTACTTGAAGAAGCTCAACCATTTCTGTTGCTGCTTCAGTTATTTGCAAATTTTCTGTTCATAACTTGATATGCTATTATAATTGCAGAAGCATATTATTGTTAAAATTGGTGAAGACTATGTTCATATAGAACCAGAGTCATGTATTATTGGCTCTGGTATCAGCATAGAACAACTGAAGATTGAAGTGGCATGTTTGTACTACAGAAAACTTCCTCATGAGAAGAGAACACAAGGTAGGCTATACGTTTCAAGTCATGAACTATCAAATCAATTACATTTGTTCATTTCCTATTCTAGGTATTCACAAATGAAATACTGTGCCCAAGCTATTCCTCTGTTACTGGGGAGTAGACATCTCCAGTAATGGCCTTGTAGGCAGTTTTATAGTCAACTCTTCCAAGCATTAAACAATCAGTTGAATACTAAATTAGTACTTTTGTTGATATAATTTTCTACCTACAACTTCATTTTTTCTAAAGACTAAACCATCCTTTTATAGAAGTAATTGGTCAATACCCAATAGGTATAGGAAACCCTAAACCTAAACCTATTGAGAATAGGAAACCATAATACTACTCCCCCTGTCCCTTAAAACTTTGCCATCTTTCCTTTTTGGGACGTCTCAAAAAACTTTGTCACTTTCCCTTTTAATCAATTATTTTGTGGTTTCTGTTATTTCTCTCCTCTTCACAAACCTCAACTACACAATTTTTATTTTATTATCTGTGTGACAGTCAACTTTGGCAAAGTTAAGGGATGGAGGTCTCGGTACTTTTTACAACTTTCTATAGTTTAACATAATTCAATACACAATAGTTATTTCTACTGTATAGGGCATCATAGTTTATGCGTTTGGTCTATAGTTTAAGCTGCACAATCAATCTATGATTTTTTTATTTATTCATTTACTATTTCTGGACGCCTCACTCTTTTATTAAGCAATTTAATAGCCTTAACATATCAAGTTTGGCAATGGGCATGAATATAGCTACCATCTCAACTCATCCCCATCTCATGATCATTTTCATGCCAATGAAAAAACATATGATTTTAGTTTTGGAATTTTATCTCATTATTCCTTTAGAAGGTTTTGACAGGAAGGACATCCGCGTAAAACTTCAACAAACATCAACAACAAACAACAACAACATCCAAGTCTTAATCCCAAATGATTTTGGGGTCGGCTAACATGAATCGATCCATGATATCAATGCCAGAAAAAGAAGACAAAAAAGTAAGATAAAACAGATAAGATAAAGAAAAATAAACATAAGATAACAATAACATAAGAACATAAGAAAGATAAAAGATAAAAAGATAAAAGAGCATAAAAAAGCTAGAAAACAACAATAACATAAAAAGATAAAGAAGATAAACGATAAAAGAAAAATAGAGAGGAAAGATAGAAAATAAATTGATCGTCCACACGAATGTGCGCCCTCCACTTTGCTCTCTCCAAAGTCATATGCTATGTATCTAGCTAAATTCAGAGAGAATTCTAGTCAAGAAAATAGGAACAAAGATGAACAGAGTGTAGGGGATGTTATTCGATCAACAGAAAAGAGAGAGAAAGTGCCTTGACAGTTATAGAGATGTCAACTCTCCAGTCCCAGCCAACCACCAAAATAACAGCCTGCCCCCTTATTACAATAGTAGCCTATTTATAGAAGTCTATCCGACTTACTAAACAACTCCCAACTACTTGCTATTCCCCTTCCTCCTACAATACACTTTATCATAATAGGTAACACTATTATTAATAGGCTGACTTCCTGTGACTCTTACATCACTCTCCTCTGGAACTACCACCTTGTCCTCAAGGTGGAAGTCAGGATATTGCTTCTGAAACTGCTGCAGCTCCTCCCAGGAGTCTTCAAACTCTGGCATATTCTTCTAATGCACCAAAACTTCAGTTTTTCCAACTGAGTTAATCCTGCTCTCCTTTACTGTCTCTGACCAGACTTGCAATTCCCATTCTTCAGAGAGGCATTTAGGTAGAGGTTGAGTTTGAACATCCTTAGAGACAGTCTTCTTTAGCAGTGATACATGGAACACAGGATGCACTCTACAATCTTCAGGCAACTTCAGTTAGTAGGCTACAAGGTTGATCTCCTCAATCACTTCAAAAGGCCCATAGAATCTAGGGCTTAACTTCTAATTGCTTTTTTTCGCAAGAGTTTTTAACTTGTAAGGCTGAATCTTCAAATAGACCTTCCCCCCCACAATCAGATGAATCTCCCTTTTCTTCTTATCCGCTTGTTGTTTCATTCTGTTTTGTGCAATAGTTAGATTGCTTTTCAATTCCTCTATGATGTCATTCCTTTCCGCTGTCAGTCTATCCACTTCCTCCACTGCTGTTATGGCCACATCTCCTCTTATCAAAACAGGTGGATCCTGACCATATAGTGCTTTGTAGGGACTGTTTTTAGTAGACTTATGGTAGTTGGTGTTATACCAAAACTCAGCCCAAGGTAGCCACTTGGGCCATTGCTTTGGTTTTATCCCAGTCATGCATCTAAGATAAGTTTCCACACATTTGTTGACATCTCAGTCTGCCCATCTGTCTGGGGATGGTATGCAGTGCTATATCTGAGTTTGGTTCCTTCGAACCTGAAGATCTCAGTCCAAAAAGAGCTTAGGAAAACACTGTCCCTGTCAGAAACTATGGTTTTAGAAAAACCATGTAATCTGACCACTTCCTGTAGAAATAATTCTGCCACACCTTTAGCATTATAAGGATGTGATAATGCTATAAAGTGTGCATACTTTGTCAACCTGTCCACCACCACAAGAATTGTATCTTTTCCCGTAGCTTTTGGCAACCCTCCAATAAAATCCATGCTCACATCAGTCCAAATTTGGCTATACGGATGGGTAGTGGTTGCAGTAATTCAGCTGGGCTTAAGGTTTGATGCTTGTTTCTCTGGCACACCTCACAATTCTGAACATAATTCTGGATATCTTTCCTCATTCCTTGATTTCCTTCCCAATAGAACAGACTTGAGATTCTTTTCATAGTTTTGAAATTCCCAGCATGTCCCCCCAATAGCAGACTCATGGAATTCCTTTAGGATGGTATTAATCCTTACAGAATTCCTAGGAATAACCATCCTTCCCTTTAAGTATAGACTATAGAATCCCTTGCCTGAGTTTGAAATGAGCAATTGAGTCTGGATTTACCCCTAATTGCTGCAAAATGTTCTTGTATTTCTCATCTTCCATCAATTCAGTCTCCAGCCCATCCCACTCCTGACAGGTGACCACAGAGAGAGAATAAAAGTGACCCTTCCTTGATAAAGCATCTGCAGCTTTATTCTCTATTCCTGGTTTATATTTGATCACAAAATTGAATCCCAACAATTTAGTTACCCACTTATGCTGATCCTCCCCCAATATCCTTTGTTCTGTAAGAAACCTCAAACTCTTTTGGTCTAAATGGACTTCAAATCTTCTTCCCAGCAAGTATGGCCTCCAGTTTTGAATAGCTAACAAAATAGCCATGAGTTCCCTTTCATAGACCGATTTATCCTGATTTCTGCTAGATAAGGTTTTACTCATATACAGCCCCCACTCCTTTTCTTGATGCATCTGCTTCAATCACAAATGTTTGGTTGAAGTCTGGTATCTTCAATACTGGTAGTTGGGTCATTTTGTGTTTTAATTCATCAAATGCTTGCTGGGCTATTGGATTCCTCTTAAATCCATCCTTCAGAAGATCAATAGGAGGTGCTGCTATTTGTAGCCCTTTACAAATCTTCTATAATATCATGTAAGTCCCAAGAATCCTCTTAACCCCTTGACATCAGTTGGGTGTTCCCAGTTTAACATATCTTCTATCTTACTAGGATCTGCAACAAACCCTTCACCAGAAATGATATGGCCCAAATAGGCCAACTGTTTTTGTCCAAAAGAGCATTTCTTCTCATTCACCACTAGCTGATTTTCTTTTAACAAATGTAACACCTTACTGACATGCTCCCAGTGCTCTTTTTCTGTTTTGCTGTAAATCAGGATGTCATCAAAAAACACTAATACAAATCTTCTGAGATATGGCTTCAGGAAAAGTGGATGGAGCATTGGTAAGCTCAAAAGGCATGACCAGATACTCATAATGACCTTCATGAGTTCTTATAGCTGTTTTATGAATGTCATCTTCACTCATTCTAATCTGATGATATCCTGATTTCAGGTCAAGCTTAGAAAAGATCTAGCATTGTTTAGTTCATCCAACAACTCTTCAATGATTGGAATAGGGAACTTATCAGGTACTATTATTCTATTCAGGGCCCTGTAATCACCACAAAACCTCCAACCCCCATCTTTCTTCTTAACCATAAGCACTGAACTGCTGTAAGGCCTGGTACTAGGCCTGATAATTCCCCCATTCAATAAATCTTGGACAACCTTTTCAATTTCATTCTTTAAGTACTGGGGGTACCTATATGGTCTGATGTTGGGAATTGTTGATCCTTCTTTGATAGTAATAGAGTGATCATATTCCCTTTCTGGAGGTAATCCTTCTAGGGGCTTAAAAACTTCAGGAAATTTTGTCTTATATTCCTGGATCCACATCTGACCATCTTCCTTTCTCATTACTTCTTCTTTCACTTCAGCTTGATACAAACAGTACCCTTCACCCTGTTTGTGTAAAGCTTTCACCAATCTCTTAAAAGAAACCTCAGTTCTACTGAGATTTGGATCTCCTTTTACCAATCTCTATTGAAATTGAACTCCACATTTCCCAGTCCAGATAAACATTCCATTCCCAACACAATTTCAGTACCCCAACTCCAAAGTATAAAAATCTTGAGTAATCATGATCTGTTGCACCAATACTGATAATGCTTCACACCTTCCATTATTTTTAATTAGATCTCCATTCCCTATTTTCACCTTGAATTCAGGAATGTGAAGAATAGGAATGCCCACTTCCTGTACTATCTTAGGAGATATAAAATTGTGAGTGGCCCCACAATCAATCAGAATGACTACCTCTCTGCTTCCTCTGTGGCCCTGAAATATTCCCTGCAACTTAAAAGTTCTGGGAGTGGTAATCCCTTCTTTACTCATTAATGATAACTGCATGGGAATCACTTCCTGTTTCTCCACATTTGATTCAGCTGTTATGTTGGGAACATCTTGAATCTCTTCTTCATCAGAATCATCTAACATCACAATCTGGAAGCGCTTCATTCTACATACATGACCCTTACCCCACTGCTCTCCACACTTGAAACAAAGGCCCTTCATGCTCAGCTCTTGTAACTCAGATTGAGATAATCTGTGTGTCCCTCTCATCCCAGATTCTCTGGCTACTACTTCCTTAGGTTTTTGCATGGCAGATTTACCATAGTGGGACTGGTTGTTCAAATTATTCTTCCATTTATTCTCATCCATCCACCTATGGTTTTGTGATGAAGAATAACTCTTTTCCTTCAATCCCTTCCTATCATCTTCTTTATTTTTGGCTGATTTCAAGGTTTGGTTCCTGTCCTCAACTAACAGAGCCCTATCCATTAACTCAGCAAGAGTTCTAACTGGATACAACTTCAATTCACCCTTTATCTCAACTTTCAACCCCTTCATGAAAATTCCTTTGAGAATTTTCACATCAGTGTGTTTTAAGGGAGCTACAATCAATTCAAATTGTTCCCTATACTCCATCACACTTCCAGTCTGTGTAACACTCAATAAGGGGCCATAAGGATCCTGTACTAATCCTGGTTGAAATCTAGGAGTCAGCAGATTTAAATGCTTCCCAGTTTCTCACCTCAGTGTGTTCTTCCCACCACTGAAACCAGTTAAGAGCCTTTCCTTCCATGGCTAAGGTGATCAATTCTACTTTATCTTCTTCCTTTATATGATTCTTTTTTAGAAAACGTTCCACCTTAACAATCCATCCGTAGGCATCATGTCCATTCAAAAGTGGTAAATCTACTTTCCTTCCAGATTTTCCCATCCATTTACTGTAATTATCATTTCGCTTAGAGGAGGATGAGTGATGATTACCTAAAGATAAAGACGACTCACAACTATCATGTCGCTTGTTGCTTTTCATCGTCTTTGATCTTCCTCGTAATCAACTATCATTTCTGCTTAAAAACATCTCACGTATCTCATCGCGAGTACGTTTGGCTTCATCGCGAGCAAGTTTGGCTTCTTCACGATCGCGTAAGGCCTCCATTCAATTTCTCTCCAGGTCGCGCATCATCTCCACTCGATTTCTCTCCAGCTCGCGTTCAAGGCTTCTTCTCGTAACGACCATATACAGGTATCAAAATCAGGCTTTGATACCAATGTTATGTATCTAGCTAAATTCAGAGAGAATTCTAGTCAAGAAAATAGGAACGAAGATGAACAAAGTGTAGGGGATGATATTCGATCAACAGAAAAGAGAGAGAAAGTGCCTTGACAATTAAAGAGATGTCAACTCTCCAGTCCCAGCCAACTACGAAAATAACAGCCTGCCCCCTTATTACAATAGTAGCTATATATAGAAGTCTATTCGACTTACTAAACAACTCCCAACTACTTGCCATTTCCCTTCCTCCTACAATACACTTTATCATAATAGTTAACACTATTATTAATACGCATATCAGTTCTGATTCCTCTAATCTAAACTTGTTTGAGTCTTCTCCTCCCTCTCCTCTTTGCCTCTTCTCCCCACCCATCAAGTCGTCTAACAGGTGCATCACTCGGTCTTCTATGCACATGCCCAAATTACCTCAAACGAAACTCCTGCATCTTATCTTCTATAGATGCTACTCTCACCTTTTGTTTGATGATCTCATTCCTCAAGCGGTCTTTTTTGGTATGTCCACACATCCAACGCAACATACGCATCTCTGTCACATTCATCTTTTGAATTTGACATTGTTTCACCGCCCAACACTTTACGCCATACATTAATGCAGACCTAATTGCTATTTGATACTACCTTCGTCCCTTAAAACTTTGCCAAAGTTGACCGGCACGGAGAATAATAAAGTAAAAATTGTGTGGTTGAGGTTTGTGCAGAGGAGAGAGAAATAACAGAAACCATAAAATAATTGATTAAAAGGGAAGGTGGCAAAGTTTTTTGGGACGTCCCAAAAAGGAAAGATGGCAAAGTTTTAAGGGACGGAGGGGAGTAAAATTTACCTTTCAGTCTAGTCGGCATACCTCGATCGCATATAAATCCTGATGCACTCTTCCATTTCATCCACCAAGCTCTGATTGTATCTTATACATCTCCATCTGATTCACCATCCTTCTGAATTATGGAGCCCAAGTAGCGAAACATATCACACACCGGTATCTCCTTATCATCAAAAGTAATTCCACTGTTGCTACTACTTCTCCCTCTACTAAACTTGCATTTCATATACTCACTCTTCCTTTGGCTCAGCCTCACACCTTTGGTCTCCAACGTTTGTCGCCATACTCCCAACTTTGCTTTAACACCCGATTGCGTCTCATAAATCAATACAATATTGTCGGCAAACATCATGCACCACAATATATCTTTTTGAATTGACTTCATAAGTTCATCCATGACTATTGCAAATAAGAAAGGACTCAGAGCCGATGCTTGATGCACTCCAATAGTAATATGGAACTCTACTGTCCTCCATACACTAGTACAAACACTTGTAATACAAGCCCCATACGTATCCATGAGGATACTGATATACTTATGTGATATGCCTTTTCTAGTGAAGGCCCATCAAAGGACTTCTCGAGGTACTCTATCATATGCCTTTTCTAAGTCGATGAACATCAAATGTAGTTCCTTTTTAATGCCTCTATACTTCTCCACAATTTGTCTAAGAAGGTGAATGAACTCGGTTGTTGAGCGTCCAGACATAAAACCAAACTGATTCTTCCAAATTTTCACATTTTTTCAAAGTCTTTGCTCAACCACTCGCTCATGAAGTTTCATGGTGTGACTCATAAGCTTAATCCCTCAATAGTTGCACATTCTTGTACATCACCCTTTCTTTTAAATAGGGGAATGAGATTACTGTTCTGCCAACTCACTGACATTTTGTTGTTCCTCCAAATCATGTTGAACAAATGTGTTAGCCACTCGATGCCTTTCTCTCCCAAACTTCTCCAAATCTCGATCGGTATACCATCCGGGTCCACTACTTTCTTCCGCCTCATCTTTCTCTGAGCCTCTTTAACTTCTGTTGTTTGGATCCTTCTCACGAAGTCCCGATTTACCATACACTCTGGTATGGTAACCTTTGATCGACATCCTTCACACACTTAACTTTTCCGATATCTTGAGTCTTACGGTCACCAAGGTGAGCAAGTATCTAAATATCTTTTTCTCCTTCCCTAAAGTCCGATTTTACATACAATTCCTTGTTCACTTTCCCGCTTGCTTCATTTACAACTTTCTTTGCTCTTCTTCTGGCCTCCTTGTACTCCTCTATGTTTTAGTTGTTTCAACTTTTGCCCAATTTTTTGTAGCATTCTTTTTTGTCCTTATCCCTTGTTTCACCTCATCATCCCACCAAGATGTGTCCTTTTTTGGTGGCAGACATCCTTTAGATTCTCCGAGTATCTCCTTTGCCACTTTGTTAATGGTGGACTCTATTAATAATCACACATCATCCACATGTGCGGCATTATCAATAGACCATACACCTTCCTCCAACATTTTTTGTGCAAAACTTTGTTGGAGATTCCCCTCGAGCCTCCACCACTTTATCTTTGGCTTCCCTTGTACTTTAACCCGCCTTCTCTTCTTACTTTTAAAGTCAAGCACAATCATCCTATGCTGAGTGACAACACTCTCACCTGGGATAACCTTACAATCATCGTAGCTAGTTTTCCAAGTCGCTGTACTGAAAAGTAGTCAATTTGGGTACTGTTAACTCCACTTCTATCGGTCACGCGATGAGAGTCTCTTTTCTTGAACCAAGTGTTCATTACAACCAACTCATATGTCGAGGCAAAATCCAGAATGTTCTTCCCCGCTTCGTCTCTAGTGCCAAAATCATGTTTGCCATGGATACTCTCAAAACCATCAAGAATTGGACCCAAATGCCCGTTGAGGTCACCTCGTATGACCAGCTTCTCTCCCCCTCAAGATCTTTCCAGAACTGTTGAGTGATAGATGCATCCAATCCCACTTGTGGTGCATATGCACTTACCTCGGACACGATCTCATCTCCAATTATCAACTTAATGCTCATGATGCAGTCGTTCTTCCCAAAGACTTCCACCACACCCTCAACATAATCATGCGCCACCATAATGCTTACTCCATTTATGTTCTTCTCTCTCCCTTAATACCACAACTTAAAACCTCTGGGATTAATCTCACGTGCCTTTTCTCCAACCCACTAAGTTTCTAACATGCACGATATGTTGATATTCCTCCTCTTCATAACCTGCTACCTCAGATGACCTTCCCGTAAGAGAGCCAACATTCCACGTTCCAAAATGCAATCTAGCACCCTGCCTTCTCTTCTTCACATCACATTGACCCCCACCATGCCCTTTCATATTCAACACCATCCTCGGGCATTGGAGTGGCGTGTTACTTCCGAGCGATGACCTAACAACTTTAGCATTCTTATCATCACACCCAAACCTATGAAGTGTAGCGCGCCCTTGCATATTTGACACCACCCCCAAGCAGAGGAATGTCGCGTCGCTTACGGGTGACGAGCCGATGACCTAGCTGTAGCGATATTCATATTTTGGTTCATGTCATGTGATGTGACTAAGTGATACTATTGGTCGTCACACGTCTATCACAACACCCTCATCCTTTATCCTGGCTTGGGACAAACATGATACCAAAAATGATCTCATGGTGGAGTTCGCGTAAAACCTCACCATAATTCTGTTCTTTACATTAATTTATTGAGTTAATTAATTTTGGACAATTAGTTAACATTTTAAATTCATACCAGCGGCTCAAAGTAGTTGGGTAGTGAACACATGACTTTGTGATACATCAGATATTTTATTTGAAGTTTCTCTCAGTCAAAAATCAACAATTGTTGTCAGAAAATGAAAACAAATGACACAGTTTTGAATTTGTTCACCTGCTTCTAAAAGAGAGAATGAAATTAATTTAATCTTTTTACTTAAATAAAGATGAAAGGTTAGTACAAGTACATCCTCCCTCACATCATTAAAAATTTACTTTGAAAAACATTGTATACAGCTAATTCACATAGAATTGCCTTCTCAGGTCTAGTTCCAGTTATTCAACATGTGAAATATGATGGAAGGGTTCTGGAATCCTCTGAAACAGTTGATATTCTAATTGACCACATCAGCAGAAAGAGTTGCATTGAAGTTTCTCTCGGTGGTACTGACCATGTCAATCCTCATCAGTCCTTTTATTTCTTTTTCCTTTTTAATGTGTTTAATCATTAACCTAAATTATTTAACCATCCTTATTTGATATATTTAGCTACTGCAGGGCTTGTGTAAGTGGCATGCTCTACTGCAATTTTATACTATCAATTAAAATTTCATAGCATATATATATATATATATATATATATATATATATATATATATATATATATATTCTGAATAAGACCTATATGGATGCTAAAGAAATTGAAGTTATAAATATGTTATTTGAAATGCTTGAAATAGGAAGCTGGTAAAACAATTGCAGAGTTTATCCATGCATTTTCATTTCACACTAGCATTCAGTTAGTAGGCGATGCTGTGTTTCCCTTGGTTTCCCTCTAGAAGTGAAATTGTGAGGAACCTACCCTTATGCTATTTCAGTTGATAGTTCATCTGGAAGTCCCTTTTCCTATTTGGGTGGAACTAATGCCATCACTTGAGCCTTTAATGGTATCTTGGTATGTAATAATTTAATACTCCCTCCATCCCTTAAAACTTTGCCATGTTTGACCGACACAGAAAATAATGAAGTAAAAGTTGTGTTGTTGGGGTTTGTGCTGAGGAGATAGAAATAACAAGAACCACTAATTAATTGATTAAAGGGGAAAGTGACAAAGTTTTTGGGACAAAAAAGGAAAGATGACAAAGTTTCAAGGATGGAGAAGGGAGTAATTTCAGACCAGTTGGGTTGGCTACATTAGCAAATAGTAGTAGAAAATATCCCATTGAGTTCATGTTCATCCACCAATATCATTATTTGCACTTATTTATGCTAGACACTTATACACCCCATATTCTCATGAAGCCTCAATACTATCATCTGATCATCATCAACTCCGTACTCCCAACCACATTGGAGTTGGTGTATTGACAGTTATAGGGCCAATTAATTGCCTAATCTTATTTAGCATTATGATGTATGCATGAATGCATGTCACAACTCTTTTTGAAATCTTCATCATTCCAAATCTCAATACTCCGTAGTGGGGCACTTGCTTCGATATATCATTAGCATTTCACAAACAGTTGATTACATTAAGAAGATAGTATTACAAAAGTAACTATAAGTAACATCTCTTATTCAAAAAATATTATGATATATTTACTTTTCATTTCGTTAAAAAAATATCTTCACATTCCTTTAAGAAATACTTTCTATTCTTCACAAAACTTTGCCAACTTTCCTTATTTAGCCTTCCTATAAAACTTCGCCATTTCCATTTAAAGCAATAAATTTGTGGTTAAAGTTGTTTCTCTTTCCTCTTTACAAATCTCAACTACATGGTTTTTACTTTATCATTCTACGTGCAAGTCAACTTTGGCCAAGTTTTGTGGGACAGAGGGAATACTTTTTTATTGTTGATGTAACTTCACATTTATAGTAAAAAATATTAATCATATTATTTGTACTCTCATGAAAATCTTTGTTAGTAGTTACTCCCTCCGTCCCATTGGACTTTGCCAATTTTCCCTTTTAGATTGTCCCAAAAAACTTTGCCACTTTCCTATTAAAGCATCTAATTTGTGGTTCTGCACATTTCTCTCTCCTGTGCACAAATCTCAACCAAACAGTTTTTACTATTCCTATTTCTCACCTACTTTACATTTGGCAAAGTCCATCGGGACGGAGGTAGTATTAATTTACATAGTAAATAAAATAAAAGTTAAGGCCAAACCTAAACAAAAGTATCCAAAATTAAGCAAGTCAGGATAACTTTTAAGAGGGCAGAATGAGAGAATAAAAATTAAGGCAGCTGGGAATTGACCCCCCATGAGTTGCTAAAAGCCACAACACTTCCACCTGTCCATCAACATTACAAGTTGCTATTATTTAGGCATTCATTGTATAGATAAGGGATCAAATACACACACCTCCTAATTTATAAACTACAAACTCATCTTGGTCATTCGGTGAGTCGATCTAAAGGTTACAGATGCACAGTGGCATTTTAATAATTAAACCAATCTTTTTTTGGATACAACACTTTGAACGTTAATATGACAACTTATTTCATTGCAGAATAATATGCAACACTTTGAATGTTATTATGCAATACAAATAGCGTAAAGATGCATTGTACACATATTTGCATAATAAGAACTGTTTGTAGCTGATCCACTCCCTCATTGTATATATAAATAAGTTAAGCGCATATGTATGTGTATATACAAAAAGTTATACACACACACACATAAGTAGGGGTTGGGTGGGGACTGAGAGGGGGAATTGCCCCCCTGTGGATCCGCCCCTGCTTGCTTCTCCACAACAAACGTGTCCAATCCAGTATGCAAGCCTATGCTGCAAAAGATAGTCAGAAGGGGCTTACATCAATCTATTTTATACAGTCGATCAATGAAACAAGCATATGATTCAAATAACTTTTTACAGAGTATATAATTATTTTTACTTATTCTATGATTTGCTTTATGCAATGAGGCTTCACATACTCACAAGGATCTAACATCTAACACATATAAGCAGTTTGGGTACCTAGGCCGTTGGTAGAACTATACACTGCATGCTGTAAAGAGCTATCGGAGTTACCCAACATGAACGTTCTCAGGAAATTGTATAACCAAGAGGTTAGTATGTGATTGTATCACCCAACTTTGAAACAGATCTAGCTCTCTAGAAAGTACTCTCAAATTCGTGTCGCAAGAACCTCACGTGGAGAAACTAATATGTTCTAATTGCTTTTCTTTTACACCCCCCTGTTTATCAGGTGTCCGAGGATGAGATAGTTGTATCTGGTTGTGAGCTGCAAGATGTATCAGTGGCACCATTAATGAAAGCTTTAAATAAGCACCAGACAATTGCTTCTCTAGACCTTTCACACAACCTGTTAGGTAGGGGACTTGTTATTACTAATTTCTTCTTCTTAGGCATTGTAGCAAGATGAACGTCATTATCTTGCTCCTTAGGTTTAGTTAGTTTATCTAGTTATCTCTCGACATAAGTAGTTTTTTTATTCATTTGATCATGTTTTATCAACTTTCTAGGGAATGGAACAATGGAGAAGCTTAAAAAAGTACTTACTGCATCACCTCAGACCTATGGTGGGCTGGCTTTAGATTTGCATTGTAATCGGTTTGGTCCATCTGCTTTGTTTCAGGTGGAAACTCATTTCTTTGCCTTATATATATTACATGAATTGTTCACTATTTCAATTACCTTCACTGTTGAAAGGTTATCAAGAATTTAAGATGCCGATTTGAATCAAAGAATTAATTTTCCATGAGGGCCCCTGGTACTCTAGAAAATCATCTGGAAGTGAATGCTAGTACTTATTTGTGTCCATGATCGTTAAAACGCACGAGGAAGCCTACAATAACTTAGCTAAGCCACTGAAAAGGAGATAAGTGGTAATATCATGTAGAGAAATGTACTGTGAGTCTGTGAGGTGCGAGCTAGTGTTAGAACCTAAGAATAGGAGGATTGGATTTGCGCTTGGCCTTCTTTTGCATGATGTGATTATTGGTTTGATGTACTATAGAAATGGTTTTAGCTAGTTCAAGTGGGCAGCGTTGGTTGGCCTAATATTCATCTGTAGGGGGGTGAACTTGTGAGACTATGAGTTTGCCGATTCTTTTGGCACATTGATGGTAGCACTGATAATAATAAATGAGAGTAATAATAATATTAGAATAGTTAGTATAAATAGAGGTTGGGGGTCGAAAGAAGGTTGGAATTATCATTTGGGCTTGGGACTTGGAGAGTGGGCACTCTTAAACTGCCTTTGTATTTCTCTCTATATTTTCTGTTATACGACACTTTCAGTTGATACACCATCTCTTTTCTTCATCTTTGATTCTTGAATTCTCTGTGAAATTAGTTAGTTACCTATCATTGGTATCAGAGCATGTTGACACTGTGGAGGGTCTTTAATCACGCGCAAATGGATTTACGGATGAACGAGCTGGAGAAATCTATGGAGAAAACTACGATGACCTTGGCGGCAAGAAAGGAGTCACTCGCAAAACTGAACAGCCACCAGAATCGATCGAGGAATCGATTGCTCACTCCGCACAGCTCGCATTGCACTTTGCATCCCACTTCGCATCTTGGGAACACGAGAATTTTGGCTAGTCCAGAGGGATCGGAAGATTTACCTTTATTCAACGGGGATGAAGTGTACGGATGGATAGTTAGGATGGAACGATACTTCTGACTCAACGCTACTGCGGAAAAAGATAAGGTTAAAGTCGCAATAGAAGCGATGGAGGAAAGGGCGTTAGACTGGTTTAATGGTGGGCAATTCAAATGAGAGAAAAGAATTGGAAAGTTCTGAAGGAAGCAATGACTTGGAGTTTCCAACCTACACGCAGGCTGGAGACAGAAAACCAGGAATCATTGCGATCGACAAGAACTTCTCTCAGTTCGCATCAAAGTGCGACGCTATCGGCGGGAGAATCTCCCAGTTCGCAGTCGCGAACTATTTCTTTCAATTCACAGGTGTCGGCGCCAAAAGTTTTCCACTGTTCGCAGGCTTCTTCATCCACTAGCCATTCACGTCAACTAGCCGCTTCTCAAAGTTCGTCATCTATAGCTGATCCTCACAGTTCCTCTTTGAGAGCTGTTTCAACCAATTCGCAAGTTGCATCGCAGGTTTCTGAGTCGGCTCAAGTTTCCTCGATGGGGATTTCATCGACACCAAACATTGAGTGGAAGTCGGCTGAACCCTCAATTTTGGAATCGGATCCTGATGAGGATACTAATCAACAGGCATGATACTCACCAGATATTCTGGAAGAGCCCGAACTGCTCAAACCTGATATTCCTTACAATCAGGAAGGAAATCGTACCTACCACAATGATCCTGCCTTGGAAATGAACAACAACATCACAGGGGCTGATGAGGAGAGCATGTCTCACCTACGAATCCATACCTATGACATTCTGAGTGTGCACCGTCAGATATCAAAGGGGATCTTGGAAGGGCTGACTGAGTTTGATGGCTTCAGAATTGATGATGTTACATCTATTAAGAACATTCAAGATAGATTGGGGGTAGGAATTACTTGAAATTGGAAGGAAAAAGTGGGTTATACTACTGTACGCTGGCATGTTCCTGATGTTTGACAATGGAATCAATCCTGCTATCGTCCAAGAGTTTGTATACCTATTCAAGAAGCAGGTGTAGGTTTGGACTATCGGGTTCGTAGGGGTAAGGCGTTTGCGTTCCATTGCTATGAGAAACTCTATTTTCCATTCTTGGTGATCACACAGAAGAAAGTGAGAAATATTAAAATGCTGCCTGTTGACCTCAAGTCGATAATGGAAGGACTTTCAATGTTTAATTTGAGCTCTCAGAAGTTATTCTTGTTGGATAATCCAGCTTTGGTAATTTCCTATTCTCTAGCTAGAAGCCCAGCTGCTGGATCCCTTGTACTTGTGACTGGTACTTGCAGGGAATTTGTCAGCTCTTATCTCGATTCTTCCATTCTTCAGCATCACCAGCAAAGATTGCATGATCTTGGTTCTTTAAATATGTTGACTATTGGAAGAGAGGTTCCTCTTGTCGTTCAGTCAATCATCTGGGTGCTGGAATCTGGTGCTGAAAACATGAGTTGCTATTCGTTGAACATCTACCAGGACCTACAGGTGTCAACAACACTTCCTAATGATGACTTGGTGAAGAATTTGTCCTTTTTAAGGTTGAATCCAAAAGATGAGTTGGTATTTAAAGTAGTTGTTGGCTTCACCAAATTTTCCTAATGATGAGTTGGTTTTAGATGTAGACTGTGTCTAGTGTCAAACTGCGAGTTGAACTAGATCATGTCTACGCTATGATGCACGCTAACTCTCAAAAAGTACTGTTCCTGCATTTCAGAAACTCTACGGAAATTCTCCAAACACTTTTTCATTTAAAGATGATGTTTCACGTATCAGGTTTCCTGCTTTTATGTGCAACCTAGCATCCAAATTTTGGTTCCCACATTGTATTTAATGGTGTTCTGTCCTTTGTAGAGCGAACTGTCTTGTGAGTGTGCTTATAGAATTTCAAATAAAAAAGTGCTTCCTAGGTGAAAAATAAGAACTAATCTTGACCATTGATATGAAAAAGGATGGGAGAGATCAAATTGTTATATTAAAATACTATAACAAACTAGTGTAAAGCCCGGGGCATGCCTTGAATCCCTTGATAGCACTTCTATTTGATATGGGTTAAAAACTTAAAATGGAAATTACTACTACCTCCGTCCCACTAACATTGAGACAAGAGGAGGTGACACGGTTATTAAAAAAAATGGGTTTACGTGATCTAGGAAGCACTGAAACGCCAATTAGGGGGAGGTTTGCCTCCCGGAAACGTTTCGGAAACGCAAAACGCCGGGAAACAGCCAGAAACTGCTCGGAAACGACAGGAAACGTTTCTGCGGTCGTGGGTTTTCGGGCCTGAGCCTGGTAACTTGATTTGCAGTGGGCCGACGCGTTTCTTGTATTTTTTTTTTTAAAAAATCTGGGTCGGTCAAATGGGTCAAGCAATCGTACTCCCAATCCGCAAACTGAAAGTCTAAAACAGCACCTGCGAAACTGCGACTGCGAGGTCTGCGAGCGACTTGCGAATCCTCGACGGGTAGAAGCAATAGGCGACGCTCTCACGCTCGCATGGCGCAGAATAGACGATTCCGAGTTTCTACTTGGAGTGTTCGTCTGCTAGACAGAGTGGCCAGCTGAAGTTGGTGAGGCATCTGCTTTCTGCTGGTTTGCTCTTTATTGGACGGTGTGTAATTGGGTATTTGGGTAGGAGGCTTGTGTTCACTTTCCAGTAATGGGCCAAAGTTGGATTTACTTTTTCTTTTTATTTATTATGCATGTGGACGTAACATTACCTATATATTAGTAACATTACCTATATGTTTTGTTTATATGTTTTATTATGCATGTGGACGTAACATTACCTATATATTAGTAAAATTTTAATTTTTAGTTCGACTTTTCCTTGTCGTACCCATATCTTGATATTTTGACATTAGCGTTTCCACGTTTCCGTCCCCGTTTCCGTTTCCGTACCGGTGCTACTTAGTATGTGATTGATATTGAATTGATAAAGTAAAAATAAAGTAAGAATGATTTAGAACCACACAAATTTTACCAAAGTTAGACAATCTCATTGAGACAGACCGAAAAGGAAAGATGAGGCAATCTTAGCGGGACGGAGGGAGCAATAGATACTGTGCATTGTGAATTATTTATAGAATCCAAAGTTGAATATAATGAATTCTTATTATGAACTAACACAGCCAATTTAAAATTTGTATTTGTTAAATAATTATTAAATTATCCATCATATATATTATATTTGCTCTTTAGTCCATATCAAGATTCTATTACTTATCGTTTCATCAATTCGTCATCAAGTATTTGTCCTCTTACTTTATAGGTATGCGAATGTCCTGTGCTATATAGTCGGCTAGAAGTGCTTAATATCTCCAGGAACCGTTTGACCGATGCATGTGCATCTTACCTTTCGACCATCTTGCAGAAATGCAAAGGTATGGAAGTCTTTCATTTATTTAAGTGTTTCTTTTCTATGATACATTTGATTCATTAATAAGATGAAGAAAAATATTTTTTTATGTTCTGTCTCATGGTTACTTTAATAAAAAAATGCTACTTGTACATGCCAATTGTATGTTGTCTGTGCATAGACAATTGAATTTCATTTTAGTAAAGGGAACTGTCTGTGTCCCCGAAAGTCAATTGTCAATTGGCAGTCAATTGTCTGTGCACAAACAAAATACACTTGACGTGTAAATGGGCGTGTAAGCCAGCGTGTACAAGTAGCATTTTTGTAGTTTAATAAGTGCCTGTCTCTAACATTACATTTTTCGGTGTTTTTTAAAAGCTCTGTACAGTTTGAACGTTGAACAATGTTCCATCACATCCAGAACAGTTCAAAAAATTGCTGATTCTCTGGATTTAGGATGTATGCTCACACATCTTTATTTAGGTACTACAGTATCTTTTAGATTTAAACAAATATATATCCAATTTATTTCTGTTAATTGCATGTGATATTAGTTTAATTTTCAAGTGAACAGGACACAACCATCCAGTTTCTGGAAATGCTTTGATGAATGTCTTGTCTAAGCTTGCCGGTTTGAAAAAGTAAAATAGTTATTATATGTATTTAATCATTGCATACCATTTGAGGGGCCAATCATTGTTCTTGACATGTGGTTTTTTGTAGTTTTCAAGAGCTTGATTTGAGTGGAATGAAGTTGAGCAAACCAGTGGTAGGTAAGCTTTGTGAGCTCGTTAAGAACACTAGCTTGTCAGACTTAATACTGGGAAGTACAAGTATTGGAAATGTGAGTCAATAATCTACTTTGTTATGCCATTGGTTTCAAATGTGAGTCAAATAATCTACTCTGAATTTTTTATAGCTGTTTTTTACTTGGCTATAATTGTTTCTGTAGGATGGAGCACTTGAAATACTTAAGTCATTCTCCGAGAAGAATCGAGAAACTGGGAAACTTGACTTATCATCTTGTGGATTGAATTTCTTCTGCATTGCTAGATTAAACATTGAAGTTTCCTTAGTAAGTTCTATTCTGGAGCTGAATCTTGGAGGAAATCCCATCATGGAAGAGGTAATTCTTAACAATATTTATATATACTGGTGTTTTTGTCTTACAATACCTGTTTTCTGTGAAATAAAACTTTGGTTTACTCAGATGGTGTCTGCTAAGTACAAGTAAAATGCATGCATAACCTACATAATAGTTTGTGTTGAACAATCTTATGTAAGTCTGTAATACATTAGCTGTATTCAAAGGTGATTTAAAAGCATGTTTAATATTTTTAATTAGAAAATTTTATTTCGTTGGTTTAGGAATATCCATAAAGCTAATCTCTTGTAAGCATTAGGTTGCCAAATATGGGCCAGTTTGGTGAGACTAAAATTTGTCAAGGACTGAATAAGCCCAGAGATTGAAATGGCTGATCCAACTACGAACAAGTGTTTATAAGAGTATTTTAAATGAATCAACGGAAACAAAACCTAAAACATAATGTTAATATTAAAAAGTGTTGTTTCCCACTTTCCCCAACATTAACCGCCCCACAAATAACTTTTGTATACCATTTTTTAATGTTTAGTCAATCCCAACAATACAAATCTCAATAAGTTGGTGTTTGACAGAAATCTGGCCAATAAAGTTGATGAGTCAAAAAATGTATTGCCAAATGGACACTGAGTCTAGTGATGGGCACATTGATGTGCAAGTTGCATCATAATCAGTGCACTGAAAATGCAAATTCATCTATACAAATGCATGTCTTCTATGCATTTATTCAAAGATCTAAGAGATTCTTGGGGAAACAGGGTGGAAATGAATTGACATCCTTGATTAGTAATCCACAATGTTGCTTAAGAGTTTTGATACTATGCAAATGCCAACTTGGTCCCCGGCAAGTTGTCGGGATACTCAAGGGACTATCAGAAAACTGTCATCTGGAAGAGCTCAATCTTGCTGATAATCTTGATGAACTCCACAAAAACCCCGTCCCATCAAGAGACTCTCTTGCTTCTGAACGAAACATTTGCACAGATTATAATCAACTGGAAGTTGTTGTTGACAGTGAAGATGATGCAGAAGGCAGCGGTGCTCTCACCTCTGCTAACTCAGACCGCCAGTTGCCCATTGAAGAGCTTTTAACCGCTATTGAAATGGCAAAACATCTGCAACAGTTAGACCTTAGTAACAATGGGCTCTCTGAAGAAGCCGGATACAGGTTGTATACATCATGGGCATTGCACTCAAGATCTGGCAGTATAGCTCAGAAGCACATCCAGGGGAATGTAATTCATTTGTCAGTCCAAGGAACAAAGTGTTGTGGCACAAAACCATGCTGCCGAAAGTTTTGAGCTCAATGAGTTCAAATATATGTAGTACTCCCTCCGTCCCGCTAACAATGGGACAAGAGGGAGTGACACGCAAATCAATAAAAAGTGGTTTATGTGGTTGATATTGAATTGATAAAGTAAGAATAAATTAAGAATGATTTAGAGCCACACAAACTTTGTCAAATTTGGTATGAGACAATCTTAGTGGGACGGACCGATAAGGTAAAACGGGACAATCATAGCGGGACAGAGGTAGTATTATATTTATCATTCGACATTAACAATTTGCAAAACATTTCCATCATTTGCAATGGAGCTAAAGATTCATTATTTTTTGGCTTGAGATTATGATGGAATAAAGCAAAATGATTCACTAAACTGTTTGCGCTTCTTTGTTATGGAGTAGCGGTCAGTCCATGCAATTTTGGACGCGATTTTCACTATGGGTCATTCGGAAACAGTCTCTCTGTGCTTTAGCACAGGGGTAAGATTGTGTACATCCGACCCCCCTTACCCCACCGTAGGTGGGAGCCTTTGCGGCACTGGAGTAAATGAAAATGATGATTAACAATTTGCAAAACCTCAATTATGTATTTTAAATTTTTAAGCATATAGAACTTGTAAGTATTAAGAACAGGGATATGAATATGCAGACCATGAAAAACTGTACTAGGTATGTATCATATGTATGCGGTGTAAAATTTAATCAGTTTTAGTCCGGGACTGCACAACCCAGGAATGTGCACCCCTAGTTTAACACTAACTTGTGTGAAATGTAGTTATTTTTGGCCAAGAGAAGTATTAAGGGTGGCTTTACGCAAGAAAATGAGTGTTCTTTTAAAGATTTTTTTTGTGAAGAACAAGCGGAAAAGAGTATATATCTTTTTACTTGTAAAAGTACATAGTTTAGGAGAGCGCTTGAATGAGATTTTAAATAGAACATGCTACAACACTTAAACATATTGATTTTGTTTGGGAAATTATTGAACATTCTTAATTATGGCGAGTGTACTCCTAAAATAAACTTCTATAGCAATCTTATTTGTCATGAAAATATTATACACAAGGACAAGGGAGAGTGGTTCAAGTGCAGTAGTGCACCAACTTCCACATTTATGATCCTCTCATCCTCTACTTATGTGAAAATTTTCAAGTTCAAGACACTGAGGAGGTGAACTTGAGAGGATTTCTTCAAATGATGATCTTGCCATTGGGATTTGGGGCTAGCTCGAGAAGTTCGAAGTAGCACAACTTGAACTTGAAATTTGGTGCACTTGAGAGGATTTTCTCAAAATCGTGCAGTAATGTCTTCATAAAGTGTAGTATTTTGAGATAAAAGTAGTGCAAAATGCACATTTTTTAATAAAGGTATTTTCGTCTCTCAACATGGTAATATGCCAAATTTTTTTCTTCCAAATTTTAATCATTCGAATGTCTAAAACAAAGTTTGTCATATTTGGAGAAACTCGGTATGTTTTAGTCATCGTCGAGGAAGTTGGATATGTTTTAGTCAAATCCCGAGAAATAGGAGCGTAGATTAGGCATGGACTCGGTGTGAGCCGGGCCGGGCCTCGGGCCGGGTTTGACCGGGTTTTTTTTGGGAACCTTGAGGCTCGGAACTGGCTCGGGGTAGCTACCGGTTGCGGGTCGGGCCTTGGCTGGTTCGGATTGAGTCGGCCCGGTTTCCTTTTTTTATTTTCTAATTACTTCCTACCCCCACCCCACCCCAAACCTGTCCAAAACACCCATCCCAACCCATTTACCTTTTTCACTGCTTGACCTGGGCCGAGTTCGTGTCCCTACCGTAGATGGGGGGGGGGGGGGGAATCCTGGCCTTGACCCACACCTCAAATTTTAAAAAGGTCTATATTTTTAGGATAGAAAATTACGTGTAAAATTTTTCCCAAAAATATTCTTTTTACCGGCTCAGTGCCCTGACTTCGCCCTTGTCGGGAAAGAAGATGCACTTGTCTTTGGAAAAGTAAATGAGTTTTAATCATACCTAGAGTAAATTTATCTATAATTAAGCATGTTACACAAGCTAAGTGTATGTTTGGCACACATAAGCCTCTACCTTCTATCTTTTGTTCTATTAAAAAAGTCTATAAAAGCTTTTAGTTATATGTTTGGTAGGACATCTTTTATGCGCTTTTTACTAAATAAAAGATCTTTTTTGAGATGTTACCATGAGTAGCATCTGGGAGAAAGTCAGTAGCTTCTAGCAATTAATTAACCACAACAGTTTGTTATATCAAACAAGATTAAATCAAACGGACAACTTTTTATTATCAAACAATTACAACCTATTCCTTTTAAGATCCTTTTTAAGTCACTAAAAGCTAACCATTATTAAAAAGTTCATAAAATGTTTTTTCAACTAGTTGTACCAAACACACCTAGACGAGTTAGCTAGAGCTAGTTTGTTCCAAAATTCATGTCATTTTTTTTGATAGTATTAGTATGTAATATGTATACACACTGGGAATTGGTTGTGGTCATTGGTTTCAATTCACGAATAATTAACGAGATATTCTATATTTCTGTGACTTAACATGAAGGCCAGATTGATCCAAAACTAATTTGTCACCATTAATGTAGTATCTCGATCTTGTCAAAAAGCTAAGGAAATAATAACAATAATAATAATAATAGAATGAATAAAGATAATGGATGGATGGATGGCCACGTACGTACGGACATGTTTGTTTTTGACGCGGCCGGCGTGTAGTAGAGCTAGCAGCTTATTGTATGTATAGAGTAAGTAAAGTTGGTGGCTAGGGCCGCAGCGAGGAGGTCCAGGTTTGGAGGCCGATGTCGTCGTGTTTTCTTGAGGGACCAGAGACCGGAATGGGGAACCTCTTGGGCGGCAAGTAGTTGAGGAAATGGTAACCGCCACCGGAGCTGCTTGGGCGGTGACCCTCCGCCCCGCCGATCTCCTTTAAGTCATCGCCGCTTCTAGAGCAATCGGAAAAGCGTAAGCTAAAGATGAATAGCAAATAAGAAAAAGAAAGAAGTAGAGACAGACTAGACGATGGTCTTCGCATGATCCTCAAGATCGAGGTAGCTAGAGATCGATCAGAGAAAGAGATGATCGATCGAGATGTGTAGGTGTACCCTACTACGTGTTTTGATATTTTTATAAGGATGGTGATATGTTTGTGTGGCTAGCTAGTAGTTCGACTGGAGAGGCATCCCATGCATGCATGCGAAGAAGCTAGCTCAGGCTGGCTTTCTAGCTGAATTAGCTAGCTGCTAGCTAGATAGGTCTGTTTTGTATGAAAAAGCTAGATGGCCGGAGTGATCGGATCTGGACAGATGGCCTGGGAAGAAGCTAAGCTAATTAGGAAGGTGATGATGATAGCTAGAGAAAAAGACCGAGTAAATGGCAAAAGAAAGATGTACTGTAGTACGTTTTGTTGCGTTTGGCGAATAGAATAGAAAGTGTGAATGGACGAAAAAGGAAAAGAAGGAAATAGTCAAAGCAGCTAAGAACTGGCCGGCCGGCCGGTTAGAGCGCGATCGGGGGCCCGGCGCCGGGCCGATCGAGTAGGTGGGGGTTTGGTCTCTGCACCCTGCACCATCCAACTCAACCCATTTCCCACACGTACACTTGCTTCTACAACCGTACATACTATACAATTATCTATCTTTATAATAAAAATTACTCCGTTTTTAAAATAGAAATCGCCCAATATAGGAGTAAATATAAATATAATTGCACAAATAGGAGTAAAACTTAAAACTTCCTTCAATAGGAGTAAACATTAATTTTGTACCCTTAATATCCCTAACTTAGTTAATTCTAAAATATGACTTATTTAATCGTAACCTAGTTAATTTATGACTTATTCAATAATAATAATTTATTTATTTATTTATTTTTCAAAAAATAAAAAACAATAATTTTTTTTTAAAAAAAATAAAAAACTCAAAAAAATAAAATAAAATTCATCGCCGCCTCAGCACCACCACCTTCAGTCACCAGGGGAAAAAATGCCAAGTTTATTCATATTACGAATGCCATATTTATGGAAGAAAACAATGAAAATGTTGGCATTCTCAAAGAGAAATATGCCATGTTTTTGGCATTTTCAGAAAAAAGGCAGTTTTTAGGAAAAATGAAATTTTTTTCACCGCCAGGAGGTAGTGGTGCAGGGAGGTAGTACAGGCGGTGGGAAAGGCATCCATATTTTTTTTTAATTTTTTTATAGAGTTTTACTATTTTTTATTATTTTTTTTTAAAAAATAAAAAATTTTAAAAAATATTTTTTTTAAATTTTTTATTTTATTAATATTTTATAAAATTTTTAATTATTTTTCTACGATTTTTTGATTTTTTTTCGAATTTATTATGAATTAAACATTTAATTAAAAGTTGTTGGGACTTGGGTAGGGTATACTTGTCCAAACACTAAAGTTACTCCTATTCAAAATATGTTACTCCTATTTTTGCATTTTGTTTATGTTTTGCTCTTATTTGGGAAATTCTCTCTTTTTAAAACGGGGCATACATGCTTATCAGCATATGGCATTATGGTGTACTAGTCCTCTCTGTCTTGGTCTTTGCATAGCAGTCACAAGAAATCAAATGCATCATTTTTTTAATATGCTGCACAACTAGTGTTATGTTACAATAGATGTACGGTACCAATTTCTCATTTTATTGCAGTATTTCTTGGTATTATGTTGTTCCAATAGATATTATATACTCTCTTCATCCCATAAAACTTGGCCATAGTTGACTTACACGTAGATTAATAAATTAAAAACTGTGTGATTGAAATTTGTGCAAATGAGAGAAAATTAACTTTAGCCACATGTTCCTTACTTTAAATGAAAGCGACAAAGTTTTTTAGGGCGATCAAAAAAGAAAGTTGTCAAAAAAAGAAAGTTGTCCAAGTTTTATAGGAGTAGCAATTTGTATGGTGCTATAAAATTAATGCTACAATAGACACTTTTTGTACACCACGCGTGGCTCATACCAATTCAAAGTCCCAAACATTGATAAGCTCTTTCCAGACATAAAATTGTTATATCCTCCAAATACCGATGTGTGTAGCTCAACTGGTAGCAAGGGAGTGTCACAAGGGTTAGGTCCTGGGTTCGAATCCCAACAACTGCAATGAGGGGTTACTATGCTAAAAATGCATAGGGACTCTGCAAGTATCGGGGACAGAGCCTCACTCTCTATCTGTCAGATTGAGATTATAATCCAATTTACATCCTTTGAACGTACCGTCCGATCGGGATTGGGAGAGCCTCAGGGATAGTGTGTCGTTCTTTTTTGTTATATCCTCCAAAAGTTAATTAGGACACTTTTCGATTGATGTTCACTCAGTCGTACCTGGTCACACTATGAGTCTATGATGACCACCTGGTTCCACTCTCTAGAGTAGAATCAATTCACACTACGAAAGAAAACAGTTACTACCTCAGTCTCGAAAAGGTCTGTTATATTGACTTTTCTTAGTCAATAATGACAAACTTTGGACGATGGTTTTAGTTATTATATTTGTATATAATTTATAAATTTTGTACTTTTATGAAAATATTTTGAATGATGAATATTTTGATATAATTTTCATATTCTAAATAAATTCGTATTAAGAAATATCATTAGTCAAAGTTGATTGTTATTGACCAAAAAAGTCAATTTGGCGAACCAGAGAGTATTAGAAGCATATATGAATTACTTACCGTCATATACTACATACGTATATTTTTCACAATTCCATAAGAAAAGGATCCATCAACTAGCGTATATAGACCAAATTCATGTAATTATCATCTTCATAATGAATAATACTAATCATATAGTACCAAATATCAATATTCCTCTCAAATTAAAATTCATCACACTAATTAAAATGATTAATACATACTAAGTAACCTTGAGAGAAGTTAAGAATGGAGATGATGAAGAGATCAGCTGGCACCAACCCCCTAACAACGAACGATGAATGAGCAGTGGCAACAGACTTCTACATAGAGGTGGAGGCAGACTGGAAGACGTCGAGCGAGTGGTGGCGGCTGACTTCTAGCGAGTGGCGAAAAGATATCGAATGATTAGAGGTGGCGGCGGCAGCACTGCTGACAAAATATATCGAAAGATATACGAATTCTACACATTTCATTTTCTCATATTTTTTTATATCATTATTTTCTGCAATGTTTTAATTTTTTCAATATTAGTTATTTATTCTATGAATTTTCATGAATCTATTTTTCAATTTTTATACGTTTCACTCTTTTTAAAAAAATCTATTTTTTTTTTATATTTTGAAGCTTTTTTATTTTAGTTATATTTTTAAAATGTTTTTAGATTTTTATATTATTTAAATTTTCAAATTATTACTCTTTTCCCTTTCAAAAAAAAACTATTACTATTTTTAGTATTACCGTCAATATTTTTAAAAATATTTATTTTCAATTTTACATTTTTTAAAACTAAACAAAGTTATTTAACTTTTTTTTTAATAAATTTTTGTATGTTTTTATGTTTTCTACCTTTACTGACATTAATTGTTTTCACAATTTTTGGAGTTTATAATTTTCCATTTTTTAACATATATAGATTTTTTAAAAAATTTTATAGCATATTTACACAGACAAATCTTTAAGTCATCATTTGGAATAGGGTATAAAAGGTCGTTAGAGTTTAAAATTCAGATTTAATTTTTAGAGTAATACGGAGTAATAAAGAGTGTGACCATTAGAAAAAGAGTGTGTCATGCGGTCCTGCTCTATAGTTACGTAATTACGGTAGAGTGTGTCTTCTAGACTCAAGTCTATTATTGAAAAGAAAAACTTAACTGGTCTATCTTTTAAAAAAAAATTGAAAGTTGAAAAAAGTGATATTGATCTATTTAATTTGTGTAAACTTCCCCATATACGATATCACAATAGGGAGCAGTCTCTCACTAGGGTTACCCATCGGTAACGCCTACGCTGTATCGCCGCCGCCGGCTTCTATCAGGCTTGCGCCGGTAAGCCGTGCGAAGCGAGTTTGATTTTCCGAGTTTCATTTTCGAAGCTTCGTAGTTCTACCATATTGGGTTTTCGCTGCTTTGGGAGGTAAAATCGACATTCGATTTTACCAAGAGGAGCGGGAGAAGGGCAGGCTTTGGCGGGGGAGGACGACGACCTGGACCTCGATGATACGGAGGCGAGCGAGGAACCGAAGGAGGAGAGTAGGCCGGGTTTTCCTGTGGTCGGGGTGCTGCTGACGGACCGCAAGGTTAGATTCCCGGAGATCAAGGAAATGTTGGCATCACTATGGAGACCGGGTAAAGGCCTATCGGTTAAAGAAGTCGGGGAGAAAAGATACCTCTTTACTTTTTATCATCGGTTAGATATGAATCGTGTTCTGGAAGGAGGACCATGGCAATTTGAGAGAGATTTATTGTTACTAAAAGAGGTTAAACCTGATGATATCCCACACAAAATTATTCTGAATGAGGCAGACTTTTGGGTTCAGGTTCACAATGTACCTTATAGTCTGGTTAATTTAGGTACGGCCAGGAGAATTGGAAATTTTATAGGAAAGTTTATAAAATATGATGATAATCAAAATAGTGACAAGTGGGAGGCATATATATATGAGAGTACGAGTGTGCATGAATGTGGAGAAAGCTCTGAAAAGAGATACTAATATGAAGAAGGATGGCAAGAGTTACTGGGTAGATTTTAAATATGAGAAATTGCCAAACTTCTGCTTTATTTGTGGATTAATTGGACACTCAGACAAATTATGTCATTTGAATTACGAAGAAGACCTAGTCTTGGAAGAAAAGTTTGGAGTTCATCTTAGAGCAGGTAGTGGAAGGAAGACGAGTCCTACAGGAAGAAACCACTGATTGTTGGAGGGTTCATCGAGCTCTGGCAGAGACCATAGGCATGGGGAGGGTGCTAAATCTGAGGATAGGATGAGTGGCGGGAACAAAGAATCGGGGACAGATTCAAAACATAGTATAACAAAAGGCGCAGGAGGCGAGAATAAGGTAGAAACAACAGGAGAACAAACATGCATGAGGCTATGGGAGTCACAGGGGGGTGAATAGATAGGAAAGGACAATATGACACTAGATGGGACAAAAAAAAGGGAGGGGGTGGGCTTAGATCAATAGGCCCGACTTAAGCAAGGGATCTTGATGAGGATGCAGAGCAAACAGATCGGGAGGCAGATCACTATTTATTATCTTAGCATTTATTATTTTTCAGACTTTTCCGTTTGCTTTCTTTTTTGTTTAGCTGTCGTTTATCCTTTTTGTAAGACGTTGGGTTTGGATGTGGGTGACTCCATGGCTCATTTGTGTCCATTAATGGATTATCGAGTTATATTGCTTCTGATGAGGTTATTAACTCTGAATCTCATTTGTGTCAGGATTCTATGTGTCGGATTACTCATCATCTAAATATTGAGATTTCAATTTAAGTCAAATTCTTCCAAAAAAATTGTGTAAACTTCCCAAACTTATACGGAGTACTATGTACGTACGTAGTATGCATCTGTATATATCCGCCGTGGGCTGGCTGCTGTGCTAATGAAGGTCAAATCATATCATTTTTTACAAGTTTGACCCGACATTATCGCGAAGGCTTTAATTGAAATTAAGCTTAGCTAGCTGCTAATTTAAAGAATGAAGTTCTTTATTAAAACTTTGACCCAAATTTATACTTCGTATATTGCCAACTACGAATTGGCTAAGTGTGCTTGCATGTATTGTGTGCCCAAAGCATGGAAAAAGCATGCATGCATATCTTTGTATATATACTCCTTTCATCCCATAAAATTTTCACACTTATCATTTTGAATTGCTCCGAAAAATCCTTTTAATCTTTTTTAAAAAAATTGTGCGACAAACTAAATATTTATTTATCTTTTTCTTACTCAATCACACATGCATTTTCACTATATTCTCACTTTTTAAATTTAAATTTAAGTTAAATTGGGAAAATTTTATGAGTGTGTTTAATATATTATGCACGGTGATCAAGTATTCAATGCCCTCGATCATTAGGGGGTAGCAATAAGCTATCGATCTAATAAAAATTGTGAAACTTGGTCAAATATTCTATGCTGTTTGGTTTGACCAACTTGATTAAAAACACTTCGGCATACGTACGTGGAATAATTTTTCCCAAAACGCAATCAATTATAATGACTCAAAATGAGTGAACATAAAATGTTCTACGTACAATTGCAAACCACGTACGGAAGATTGCTAACCTAGATGAAAAATTGATTTGGTACACGAAATTTATACACATTTGACACACGTTTATACAATCCCTAATTACTTATGTACACAGACAACTAATGCATCAATTGTCTATGTACACAGACGATATATGTGTACACCATCTAGTTGCTCGTGTACACAGACAATTAGTGCAGTAACTGTCTGATTATATAAATGTATGCAAAATGCACGTTTAATTACGCTATAAACCCAATCCATTTTTCTCTTAAATAAATAAATGCTAGCTGCGAGTGATGAGACATGGCCCTTCCAAAAGCCTTTAAAAGTTCTCTATTTCTTTAAATTATTATTATTATGTTACATAAATGCATGTAGACGTTTTTTCATATCCATTACCTCGGATTGATGATTTGTTTTATCAATTAAAAGGGGTTACCACGTTCTCTAAGATAGACTTGCGCTCTGGCTATCATCAAGTAAGAATAGCCGAGAAAGATGTACCAAAGACAGCATTCCGCACAAGGTATGGACACTACGAGTTCACTGTGATGCCGTTTGGTTTAATCAATGCACCAGCAATATTCATGGATCTAATGAACCGTGTATTCCGACCTTATCTTGATACCTTTGTAGTGGTATTCATTGATGATATCCTCGTTTATTCAAAAACCCCGGAGCATCACGAGAAACACTTGAGGCTCACGTTGCAAACTTTGAGAGAGAACTAGTTGTATGCAAAACTCTCAAAGTGCGACTTCTGGCAGGATCAGGTAGCGTTCTTGGGTCACATCATCACCCAAGAGGGCGTATACGTAGATCCATCCAAGATTGAAGCGGTGATTGAGTCGCGTGCACCTACCTCGGTCACAGACGTGAGAAGTTTCTTGGGATTAGCCGGTTACTATCGGAGATTTGTTAAAGATTTCTCCAAGATAGCAAGACTGTTAACCAACCTGACGAAGAAGACAACCAAGTTCCATTGGGATGAAGATTGTGAAACAGCATTTCAGGAGTTGAAGAAAAGACTCACAACCGCGCCAGTCTTGACATTACCGTCAGGAACGGAGAGATTCGATAGCTACAACGATGCTTCTAAGAAGGGATTGGGGTGTGTGCTTATGCAAAATAGGAAAGTGGTGGCTTATGCATCGAGACAATTGAAGGTGCATGAAGTCAACTATCCTACTCATGACTTGGAGTTAGCTGCAGTAGTGTTTGCACTGAAAATCTGGAGACATTACCTATACGGAGCATAATGAAAGATATACACTGACCACAAAAGCTTGAAGTACATATTCACTCAAAAAGAGCTTAACATGAAGCAAAGAAGATGGCTCGAACTTCTAAGTGATTACGACCTGGAAATCCAATACCATGAGGGAAAAGCTAATGTGGTGGCGGATGCTTTGAGCCGGAAATTTGAGCACTCATGCCAAGCAACGTGGATATTACCAGAAGAACTGTTCCGAGACTTTCAAAGATTGAACTTGGAAGTAAAACAATATGGCGAAGTAGATAGTGAAATACAGTTATGTACTATGACCGTTACATCATCTATCTTCGAGGAGATCAAGAATGGGCAACTGGAAGATATGAAGCTCGAGAGAATCAAGGAAGGAATGAAAGATGAGGTCAATGGACCATTCAAGACACATGAAGATGGGAGCATCCGATACAAGGGAAAGTGGTGTGTCCCGCTGAAGTGTGCAGATATTAAAAGACAAATCATGGAGGAAGGACACAACACGCCCTGCTCGGTACATCCCGGGGGAGACAAACTATACAAAAACCTCAAAAAGAATTTTTGGTGGCCGGGAATGAAGAGAGAAGTAGTTGAATTCGTATCCCGATGTTTGAATTGCCAAAAAGTCAAAGCGGAGAGATGCAAACCCAAGGGACTTATGCAACCCTTGGAAGTACCTAAATGGAAGTGTGATTCCATCTCAATGGATTTTGTTTGGAGGGTTACCCTTAACTAAATCCAGAAAAGATAAGATTTGGGTAATCGTTGATCGATTAACCAAAACTGCAAGATTCATTCCTATGAATGAAACTTGGAGCATGGACAAGCTGGCCAAAGCCTATGTCAAATACGTGGTCAAACACCACGGAGTACCTCAAGACATCGTATCGGATCGAGATTCACGATTCTTATCTCAATTCTGGGAGGAATTACAAACGGCTATGGGGATAAAATTGAAGGTAGGTACTGCTTTCTATCCAACCACGGACGGGCAAACCGAAAGAACGATCCAAACATTAGAAGACATGTTGAGGGCATGTGTTCTTGAATTGCAAGGATCATGGGATGAACACCTAGACTTAATAGAGTTTTCGTACAATAACAGTTACCATGCTAGCATCGGAATGGCCCCGTACGAAGCTCTATACGGTCAAAAGTGTAGAAGTCCCTTGAGTTGGGGTGACATAGTCGATCAGGTGGTTCTAGGACCACAATACTTGCAAGATACCATAGAGAAAGTCAAAGTCATCCAAGAGAGGATGAAGGCTGCCCAAGACCGACAGAAGTCATATGCCGATCTTGGGAGGAAGCCAGCTGAATTCGAGCTAGGGGAGAAGGTTCTACTCAAAGTCTCTCCTACTAGGGGAGTAATGAGGTTCGGGAAGAAAGGGAAACTAAGCCCGAGGTTCATCGGACCTTACGACATCCTAGAGAAGGTGGGAAACGTGGCATATCGATTAGCTCTACCCACAGAGTTGGATAAGGTAACAAATGATTTTAAAACCAGATACTTTTCAACGATTAGAATTCATCCTTAACATACAGACTTGTGCTAGGTACATAATGTCTTTCACGTATCACAATTAAAGAAGTACGTTCGAGATGAGTCACATATTATCAATCCTGAGGTAAGAGACCCTAAACTTAACATGAACCAAAGTAAATTGGAAATAATATAAGTTAACCCTTATATTATTAAGTGATTGAAATGGATGAGGCATTATCCTACGAAGAAAACCCGTAGAGATCCTTGATACTAAAACCCGAGAGACGAGGAAGAAGACAGTTAAGATGGTAAAAGTACTTTGGTCAAACCATTTGACCGAGAATGCAACATGGGAGATAGAAGAGGATATGCGTAAACGGTATCCTGAACTGTTCAACTAAGGTAAATATTGGGTTACGAGGACGTAACCTTTCTTTTAGGGGACATGTTGTAACATCTTATAAACCTGTAATACTTCATCTTCATACTTAATTCTCGTCTTAGTTCATACTTCAAATTCTAATTTCGTTTTAATTTTCTATTTTTAATATAAAGTCCAAAAATATTACCACATCCATAATTTAACTAATTTATCCATTAAACTAATTGATTTAGTTAAACTAGGATGTTTTTACTTGGACTGTAATTCGTCCCAGACCAGATCAGACCAGACCAGACCAGACCAGTTCAGACCAGACCAGACCAGACTTGGATAGTTATAAAAATACAAAGAAACCAGACCAGACCAGACCAGACCAGACCAAAGCAGATCAGACCAGACCAGACCAGACCAGCAAATTACAGTCCAAGTAAAAACATCCCTAGTCCAATGAAGTCAATTAACTAAATTATTAAGTACATATTACTTAATTAATTTGTTTATATTAATCAACTAATTTTTATGAGTTCAAATAGTTTAATAATTTATATGAAGTCCAAATCAATAATAATCAAGAATAATAATTATTACTTTCATCACACTAATTTAATTAGTCCACTAATTCAATAATTTATTTATTAAGTCCAAATATAGTCATTCATTTATGCTAGCTATCCCAACATTATTTTCTTTTCCTTATTTTATTCCAAACCTCATTTTAGTCCGTAATATTATTTCCAATCTTAGTGATTTTATTTATTTCACCATTATTATTCAAATTTTCTTATTTAATTACTTAACTAGTTTTATATGGCCCAATTAAATTAAATAGCTTAAGAATCGACTTTATAAATTTATAATCGTCCATAACTATATTTTGGGTCCATATTTGACCTAGGTCGTCCAGATATTTATTTTAGAATTATTCTTTATTTATTCATTTAATTTCATATATCTATTAACCGGTTTAATTACAATTAAACATACTAATCATAATTTTTATTAATTATAAATGGTCCCAAATGTCCTAGTTAGTCATATAATTAATCTAGATTACTCCAATATTTATTTCATAATTTATTTCGTCATTTAGTTAATTATTTACTAAATATGTACAAATTGGCCCAATTACAATTAAATCAATTAAAAATAGCTAAAAATATTATATTTCAATTCTGGTTGGTCCGAATATGTATATTTATACTAGGTGTTTAATTTATATTTTTCCAGATTTTATTTATTTCATTTACTATTTTTTATAATTTTTATTGAAAATGGGCCGAACCGGCCCAAAAACGCGACCCGG